CTCCAGGAGGAAGCTGCTACAGGAATCTGGGAAGTGTGGGCAGCAATCAGAAGTGAATATGTCCCTACAATCTGGGCCCCTATTGTGGACAGCAGCCAAGGGCAGGTGCTTAGGAGCCATGCTCAGTGCCTGTTCATTGGAAGAATGAAGCACACCTGGCTGCCAAAATGGGCATTGTCTAAACCTTTCTTTTGCTTACACAGTCTTTCATGAAAGACACTTTGCTCAATAAATACCTTCCCCAAAGACCCCAAGACTCAGCCGACAAGGTGCCCTGCCTCCCTAGTAGGCTCTCTTTGGACCTTCCTGTCCCTCTCCAAGGCTGCCCACCCTCCACCCCAGTAGAGCCTGGCAGGACTTCCTCATGAGGACCTCCGTAGGGTCTGTGGAGACTACAGCCAGCACAGGGCCCAGGAGGGGTACATGGAGCCTGAGTCTCAGGACAGTGAAGGTGAGAGTCTCCACTGGCTGGGAGGAAGATTCCAGGGGTCAAGATAGGGGCCACAGAGGTCCCACCTCCTCCTGGGCCAGTACTCTGTACATAGACACATGCCTTCACAACCCAGTTAGTAAAATGAAGATTTCTGGGTACTGAGATTCTAATGAGTGGTTCTGGGTCAGGCCCTGGAACTCACCCTCCACATCCCCAGTGACAATACAATGGCCTCCCAATCACTTGCTCAGAAACAACAAAGAACCCCTGGACAGAAGAATGGACTAGAATAACAGGAGCCTTCCAAGAGCTGTCTTCTCTTCTGCCAGGGCTGAGCATTTGCAAAATAGGGACCTCAGGTTTGGAACACAAACCCCATTCCCACATCACCTGGAGAAGGCCAGTCAGAGGTATGCTTGCTCACCTCATCACTGACTTTCTCTCCAACCCTACAGGGTTCCAAGGAATACTCACTGCCACAGAGAAGGGAGGGGATGAGCAGGGATCCTGAGTGGCTTGTCACGATTGGAAAACAAAGCCCTAAGGAAACTCAAATGTAAGCATGCTGGCTCTCCTGGATGCTGTTCTGTTCCCAGCCCGCTCAGTGTCTCTAGATGTGGCTGCTGTAACCCATAGACCATGTATAGGCAGCCAGGGGCCCTTTGGCCTTTCTCCTATGTATGCACCCTTAAAGGTTCATGGGTCTCAGACCCCAGTCCAGAGGCCAGGGAAGCAAACATCTCAGTCTGATACTGTCTCACATGGGACGTCAGCTGTGGGTTAGGTTCCTCAGTCATAACTAGGACCTCAGAGTTGACTTGAACATGAATATGGGTTGCCCATAGAAGGCCACAATCTTGAGAGAAAACAGCCACACACGGGAAGAAGATGAACAGTTCCTGGTGGGCAGGATGCATCGCCACTCTTCAGATGGCCAACTAAGCAAACCGTCACAGAGAAGATGACCTTCAGAGCTTTGAAGAACAGTTCTCTCTTGGGAGTGGCTTTTAAACCACAGAGCCTTGAGGAAGTAGCTTCATCAAGTAAGCATCCCAGCATTCTTGGGATGAACATGGCACAGTGCCCTGGCCAGGATATTAGGAAGATTCCTGCCACAGGGTATAACTGGGCCTTTACTTCCTTCTCATGATGTTAAGTGCAACCAATTCCAAAACTTTCAGCCCATGCTCTTAAAGTTCTGCCTTGATTTTAAGAGCAGAAGACATAAGATGGACAGGGCTCATCTCCGGTAGCCTCATCCACACACTGCAGAGCCCTCTGCACTTGCATCCATCCTGTGGTGGCACCAGTGTGCTGGGTGGGACACAGCCTGTCCTCTTTCCCACCAGCTTCTGAGATCTTAATTGTACGCTCACCCACACTCTGTGACTGAGTATTTCAAATTCAAATGGACCTCACTTATAGCATGTTTCTAAAAATTGTTCTGGAAATACTCTCTTCAGCTCAGTCACATGTCCCTGGGAACAAGCTGGCACTTTACAGCAGAGGTTTGTGTTATGGGAGGTGATGCCACTTACACCACTGGAGAGCTAAGTCAGCTATGGGGACTATGTAGTTCTCGTGTCCTGTTCCTCAGAGACACCTGGAGCTCTGTCTCCACAGGACCAATGAAAGGTCATCTGAAGGTACCCTTTAGCCACAACGACACATCTGGCCTCTGCCTAGCCCTGTGGGTCCTGATGCCCAGAAACAGTGTCCTCAGGAACATGAGCAGTGGCAGCACACCTGGAGGGCTCTAGATGAGGGCTTCCATGGGTACCTCAACAATGGCACTGAAATAAATGATCAGTGGACACCATAGTCCAGGTTATCAGGGATATAATCCAACACAGAGTGCAGCAGCCTGCCCCTGGGGCCACACTGCAGCTTCTCTACCACACAGAGGCTGAAAAGCAATGGGAAGGGAACTGCATTAAGCTCCTGAAGAAGAAAGAAGTATAGGACAGAGCCCCACGGCCCATGGCTGTCCTAAGAAGCATGTCACAGGGGTTTTCCACAATTCACACTCAGAGGCTGCCCTGCGAGCTGTTTCAAACTCAGAATAATCTTAGACCCAAATGGAAAATTTTAAAGTACCTAGAATCCAGAGGAAAACGCAAATAGATGCCTACAATTTATAGTAGGCTAAGATTTTTCTAGATACACCATCAATATAACAATACTTAAAAGACTCATGAAAACTGAAAATGTCTGCCCTTTGCACAACATGGTCCCAGGCTTGGGAGAAAATGGGAGCAGCCACTGAAGACTGTTCTGGAAGGCCGGGGACACTGGGTAGGTTCCTTATCCTACAAGGAGTTCTGAGTCATTCCCAGGGAAACAGCAGGCATCCTAGAGCTGACTGAACATGGTTCCTTTTAGAGCTGGTACCGACCTCAGGACTTCCTGGAAAAGTGAATTCCATGGTGGGGGTAAGGGAGGGAACCTAGCTTCCATCCTGTAGGTAGGGGATGTTCAGGCCACATGAGTACAAAAAGGGCGTGCTAGGGTCAACTCGGACCCTCTGATCAGAAGCTTCCAAAGGGTGAGTCTCTGGTTGAGGAGGGGAAGCCAGATGGAGGTAGGCCTAGGGAAGACTACTGTCTTCATCTGTTGAGACCTCCAGACTGCAGTGCCTCCTGGGGTCTCTCCTGTACCTTGTGAATGTGCTTTCTAACTCAAATACAGAGGGCTGGAGACCCACCCTCCCTGCAGTAAACTACATACTGGTTATGCCCTTCTCTCCCACTCCCACAGCAGTACTCCTTCAGGAAGGGCCAGAAATCCTTTGCATCACAAGAGTCAAGGACTCTGCTCAGAGAGCAATGGTAGCCTGTGCAAGGACAGGTACAACCAGACCCAGGGGACAAACCTAATGGACTGCCAGAAAAGGCTGCAAAAGCCTCACAGACAGGTAGCCCTAGAGCCCAACAAAAATATCACTTTAGCCACAACTTATTTCCTTCCCCATGGAGACCCACTTTCCTCAGGGAGGAGGACCAGCCTTTCCCAGTTGGGTCCTATAGGACCCTGGCTGGAACATCCATGGGTGCCCCAGAAGATCCATTAGGAACACTGCCAACATCTTCACAGCTCAATCACAGCATCTCCACCCCCCCGACCCCCAGGTCTCCATTAGACCTTGCACAGGGCTCCCTGTCTAAAAGCCCTACCACCCACCCATCTCTCCATCTTCCTCTCCAGCTGTCTGGGGCAAGTTCAGGGTTGCTCCCAGGGTTGCTGCAGTCATACACCAAACCTGCCCCTAGTGATGGTCATCTGGCCCAACCTTACCCACTGGGGCTCCTTGCTCTGCCTCACTGCACCCTGACACCTCTGAGCTCTGGGTTGCTACAGTTGACTGGGATCTCTCCTCTCCCCTCCTTCAAAAAGAGAAGCTTCACTAATGCCTCCACTGAGAAAGGTACTAATTGTCCAAGGAGCTCCCTCCATTCCTCAGCATCCTTGTCTCACCTGGGCAAAGGCCAGGCAAAAGAGAACTTGGCTCCATCCTATATGTTCATCTACCTCCTTGAAGGGCAAAGATAGTAGGGTTTGAGACCCCAGGAAGTCTATATAGGCAGCATCCCAACAAGTCTCATGCATTGATGCCCCCACCTCTGCCTTCCCTATTCTTGGTGGTTCCCAGTCTTCCTAGGGTATGAGCAGTGTCCTGTGGAAGCCATCTTGCCTACACAGGCAAGGAGCTAGAGACAGGTTAAGAGAACATGGTCTTAGCTCTGATCTAATGGTTGTTTATCCCAAACACTTCAGGGGATGGTAGGATGTGAGTTAGTGTTCAGCAAATGTGCCCAGGCAGCATGTTGGTTTCTACAGCTTGGATCCCTGTCACGTACTATATCTCTGCTCAAAACACCAACACAGTCCAGAGGGAAAAGTGGACACATGGGGACATGACCAAGTTCCAGGAGTACAAAGGACTCGTGAGACCACAGACCAGGCTCTCCTACAGAGCTACAAGGTCTAAAGGCAAAGTATCACCCTTGGAAGTTTGGCTACTAGTTCATCTCAGCATCCAAAGTAGTATGCTCCAGGCTGAGGCATCAGCATGAGCTTGGCAAGACGCTCAGGAAGACTTAGCTGCCAGATATGACCCATCCTAAAAGATCTTTAGGAATCCCAGCAGGAAGCCTGCCAAGGGTCTGGGCAACTCCTGTTCAGAGCCACCATTTCTAGCATTAGCAGGGGTTGGGGGAAGAGGCAACAGGCCATTTCCAATCCAGAAGGGTGGTAGCCCAGTACAAGGCCAGTACCCACAGAGATGCAGCTAGGACTGCCTCAGGCAGATTGTAGTTACCAGTATGCTGTCCTCGATGCACAAGGCAGGCCAACCAGGGCTGGGCATGGTTTGCAGGACATGCTTCCCCCTGGAAGCCCTCTTGGAATGAGCCAGTGGAGCACATGAAGCATTCATGCAGGGCTCAGGCCTAAGGATAGGAATCAATGACCAGCAAGGCTCATATTGTACATACAGAGGTCTGCCTGGCAGAGAGCCACTCCAGAAGCCATTCTGACTTCACCAAACTAAAGGAAACATCGTGCTTACCGTAGCTAACTCATCGAACTTGCCAAAGAGCTCGTTGAGCAGTTTCACCAGCTCCTGAGCTGTGCACTGGGATGCCAGACCTGTGAAGCCCACGATATCTGCAAACAGGATGCTGCAAGAGAAAAGCGGTACAGGCCACCTCTTCTCAATCACTCAGGAAATCAGGACCCCAGAGTTGTACAAATTTTTCCACTATAAACCATTTTCAAATAAATCACCCCATCGACTCCCCAGTGCAGGTTGGAAGACTTCCTCCTCCTCCTTACAGGCAAGAAGCCCTAGGCTCAGAGCAGTTCAAGATACTCCTCTTGGTCATAGCTGCTGGGCTGCTCAGAGCTGGCTATTCACTATGCTGACCCCTCACACCACACACGGAGCTCCTGCTGGCTACCCAGTAGACCTGTGCCCTTCCCATGGAGTTCACATGACTGATCATTGCATTGTGGCCAGGAATAATAAGTAGAGTGGCCAGCTTTTAAAAAGTGAGTTGGGGACCTGGAGAGCTTACTCAGTGGTTAAGAGCACTGACTGCTCTTGCAGAGGACTCGAGTTTGGTTCCTAACACCCACATGGCAGCTAACAAACATCCATAATTCCAGTTCCTAGGAGATTGGGCGCCCTCTTCTGGCCTCTGTGGGCATTGCATGCACGTGGTGCACACATATGTAAGCAAAATATTCATACACATAAATAAAAATAAATAATGTTTTTAAAGAAGTAAGTTGGGGCCCTTCCTAACACACTGTTTTCTTCCCCTTCTGCTACCTGAATGCAGGTGACCATCAGGCCCCAGGAGGGATATCAGAGCCTCACTGTGAAAGGGGTAGAATCCCTGAATTACTATGTAGAGGGGCCATGACTATATGAGACCTTCCACACACTGGGTATCTATTTATTGCAGAACTTGGGTCAGCCTCAAGAACATAGTGCCTGCCCAAGTTTCCAACAGATGGAAAAAGACTCTAAAAAGATATTTCCTATTGTTTTCTACCAAACTAAAACATACTCTTTGCAGAATACGTGAGAGGTTAAAAAAAAAATCATACAGTGCTTGTCTTTAAATTTTTTTTTATCTTTTTGAGACAGGGTCTCCCTGTAGCCCCAGCTGTCCTGGAACTCAATATGTAGACCAGGCTGACCTTGATCTCACAGAGATCACCTGCCTCTGCCTCCCAAGTGCTGGGATTAAAGGTGTGTACCACCATACCTGGCTCTTTAGACATTTTTTTAGCTTTAAGCTATATCTTAAAGCATGCTAATACATGATCCCAACCATATGTTTACCTTTGCTCCAATGTTCACAGCTTTTCTCTAACTTTGGGACTTTCAAAACCTAGACCACCACCCTGAAGACCCCTTCTCAGGAGTTATAGGCACCAAATAAAAGGTAATGACAACAGAGGGTGTCACCAAAGAAGAACCAGGCTGGAAAGCACAGGAGGGAAGCAATAGTCAGACCCGGACTCCAGCAGGACTGTTCCCACTCCACCAGCTACAGCAGAGGGAGTTTCAACCCTTCCTTGTGTCCATTTCTCATCTGTGAAATGGGAATAGCTCTAATGTTTATAATCATTTACAATAATTTTAAGTGCTATCATCCATGTATTAACTTGTGGGTTACTCATCTAGGGCCAGATTCCCTAACATTATTCTAGATGCTTAGAACTTACAAGAAGAGAAGATTCCAATAAACAACCCCATCCTTAGGAGGATTCTTTCTGGCTAAGGGAAGGGACATTTGAAGCACGCCAATGCACTTCATTTAATGGTGGTGAAAACAGGCAAGGAGATGGGTCAGACTGTACTGCCATACAAGATGGGCCAGGCGAACTCTGTGGGACAGGAAGAGGGAGGGGTAGAGATACTTTGGGAACAGGGTTCTGGGTAGAGGGAAGGACAAGTGCTGTTCCTTCTGTATCCTGTAGAATACAGAATTCCTGTCTTTTTATTTCAGCCTTTGAACATGCCATCCTGCTGACTTCTGGATCTTATTCCCATAAATCAGGCATTATCTCATTCAAGATCACTTCTAGATAAAGAGCCTTTTTCTCTTGCTGCTTTCAAATTCTCTCTGCATCTCGGCTGTTGTCATTTTAACTGTATCTTAAGGTGGGTCTTTGTGTTCATCCACCTTGTAGTGCACTTAGCTTCTTGGATGAGCAGGTTAATATTGTTGTTGTTTAAGGAACATTTTTGGTCACTATTTCTTCAAATATCCTCTCTTCCTTTCTTTCCTCTCCTGGGGAATCTCACTATGCATGCACTGATAAACTTAACAGTGTCTCACAGAGTTCTGAAATTCTTACCATTTCTTCATTCTTTATTTCACTGTTCTTCAGACCGGAAACTCTTGTTGGCTCTGTCATTAAGTTCACTGATTGCTTTCCTGTCTGCTCAGGCCAGCCACTGAACCCCTCCAGTGAATTTATCTTTTTTTTAAGTTGGAAGCTCTATTTGATTTTTAAGTCTATTCTGTTGACACTGTCTGGTGAGGAAGCATTGCCATAGTTTCTTTGGATTGTATAGACACAAGTTGTTCTTCGCATGTTTAAAAACACTGACTCAAAAGGCTGCCTAAGAAGCCCAATGTTGAGGCCTCCTCAGGAACAGTTTCTGCCGAGTGCTTTTGTTGTTGTTGTCCCATGTATGAGCCATACATACTTTTTTGTGGCATAACTAATATATTTCTACTGAGAACTGAATAGCACAACGGAACAACTCTGGAAATCTTGTTCTCCCCATCCCCATCTCGGGCCCCTGGTTATGACTGTTTGACACTGCTTAGAAGTTTTCCTAAACTGATTCTGCATAGACTTGGCCTTCTGAAATTCCCACACTTCTGCCTAGACCTTTTCACAGCACCCCACGTTCATCTAGTCCCCAGTGTTCCCTTCATTCTTTTTGGTCACCTTGTTACTTGCCTCGACTGTCATCTCTGCCTCAAACATCAGTCATGTTAACCCATCACCATGGACTGTTTCCAACGAAGGTGCTGAGCAAAACCTGGACACAGGGCTGAGTGAAGACCGCTCAAGAAGGCAATGAAAGGACTTCCCAGGGAACCCTCAGTTCTTTCAAACACTGGTGATTCTGAGAGCAGAGCTTTGAAGGAGCACCAGTCCCAATCTCAGCCCTGAGAGGCCGCCAGGGGGCTGGCTCTTGTGATTATGACTTGGTTTTTCAAAACTACTGTAGAGCTAAGGGGAGGATGCACCCAGAGCAAGTTAAAAAGCAATAAATATACAAGTAAAAAAATCAAAAAATTTAAAAAATGAGTTATATTTGAGGAGGAAGCATAAAAATTTACATCATGTTAATTAGTAGAGGTGATAAACATTACCATTGAAATCTACCCGGCGATTTTATATCCATACACAGGTGCCAAGTATCCAAATGCAACCAAATATGACTAGTAATAATCAGATACATACAGATTAGAGCTGCATGTGACAACATCTAAGTGTTATTAGCAAAAACAATGAGTCTATAAGAAACAGTATATTTTAAAACGAAATGGAGATCTTTTCTAAAGGTTAAAAACTCATTCAATTTTATGTACAGAGTTTATACTGAGATCAATATTGTGTAACTGTATTAATACAACTGTGAATCTAAAAATTTTATAGCCACTTTTGAAAGAGATGCATCTTTGCTCTAGAAATTGTTATTGAGTATGTTTAAGCTGTAATGAAATGCCTCTTCTAAAAAATAAAAAATAAAATAAAATAAATGTTAAAAAAAAGACGCTGAGCTTTTGCTCTTGATATTTAGTTGTTTCAAAGAAATATTCCTGGGTCATTGCAGGAATTTGGTTAATCACCAAGTTTGATATAATTCCAGCCACTTTCGCTTTTGCTGCCATGAAATCATTACCAAAACCAATACCATGGAGTTTGGTCCCCTTTTTTTCTAGGATTTTTACACATTTCAGGTTTTAATCAATTTTAACTGATTTCACATATGGTATCAGGTAAGGGTCCAGTTTCATTAATTTGCATGTAGATATTCAGTGTGTCCAACGCTATTGAAGATAACCCCTTCCTTACCCTGTACTTTACTTCTGTACTTTCCTTACCCCTTCCTTACCCTGTACTTTTACTTCTGGGCTCTTTACTCTGCTTTATCTCTCTTTTTTTGTTGTTGATTTTATTCTATGTGTACAAGTGTACTGCCTGCATGTATGTAAGTGCACACTTGTCGTGCAATGCCGTGGAGGTCAGAAGAGGGCATCACATCCCCTGGAACTGGAGTTACAAACCATTGTTAGCCACCACGTGGTTGCCGGGAATTGAACCTGGGTCCTCTGCAAGAGCAGTCAGTGCTCTTAACTGCCGAACCATTGCTCCAGGCCCCCTGTTTCATCTTTCTGCTTTTATACCAATACCACACTGTTCCAAATCACTGTAGCTCTGCAATATGATCTGAAGTCAGAAAGTACGATGCCATTATGACCTGAAAGAGACAGTATGATTCTCTTATTAAGACTTTTCTGTGACCTTGTGTGATCTGTCCTAGACCAGGATTAACATGTACACATACTGAACACTAAAAATTCTTTCCACTACAGTTATTTGAAAACCTTTGGCTAACTTTTCTCACATTTATTTATTTATCTATTTAATGTGCATGTGGGGGGTGTGCTTATATGTTACAGTGCACATGTGAAAGTCAGAGGACAACTTGCAGGAATTGGTTCTCTCCTCCCACCATGTGGGTTCTGGGACTTGAACTCAGGCTGTCAAGCTAGGCAGCAAGCTCCTTTTGCTAAGTGAATCATCTCACCAGCCAGATTTTTACGTTTTCCGTGATCACAACTAAAACAATTTACCTTAATATATGTAATAAATATGTATTAATATATTTACTTTTATCAAGGAGATTCCATTCCTTGCACCACTGTGTTACCATTAAAGATTCATTCTGACCTTTTAGCATTTTTTCACAAGTGGTCACAAACTTCACAAACTTCCACATCTTTCAGTTATCTGACAGGGTCTTTGTCTCTCCTTTATTTCTGAAGGAGAATTTTTCCAGACATAGTATTCTTGGTCGACAGAATTTTGTAGATGTTGTTGTTCCGTTTTCAACACTGTAAATGTATCATCTACTCCCTCTGCCCTTCAGAGTTTCTGCCAAGAGCTCTACTTGCAAACCTAATGGGGATTCTGTTGTTTGTGACAAAGGACTTTTCTTTTGTTGCTTTCAAAATTCTCGCTTTGTCTTTAGCTTTTCAGAATCTCATGCTGCATCTTGACATCGATTTCTTTAGGTTTATTTTATTTGCTATCACTGTGTTTCCTGTTTCTGGATGCCTCTCTCTGTAGCCGTGTGTCCATCTGAACAGTTTTTAGAAATCAGCTCAGTGGTCCCTTTCCCCTCTCTTCTTCAGTAATTCCTATAACACGTGCTTTGGCCCAATGATCATTTCTCCTAATTCCCTTAAGCTTTCTTCATTCCTTACCATTCTTTCTTCTTTTGGACCTTCTTGCTGGCACCTTCCAGGAGCCTGTCTTCCAGTTCACTGACCTTGTTTTCTGCTGGGTCATCTGTTCAGCTCTAGGGAATTTTTAGGTTCAGTTGTTACGATCTTAGGCTTCGTAGTTTCTGCTACTCTGCGTTTCTATTTCTTTGTTGAAATTCTCATTTTTCTCGTTCTTCGCTGAGCATCTTTATGAGAGTTTTTAATCTTTTGTCAAGCAATTCATTTAAGTTCGTTTCATTAAGGCCAACCAGCATCTGGAGATGTGTCTCGTTCCTTTGTTTGGGGTACGTCTGCTGGTTCTTCATTTCCCTTGACTCTCTCCATCAGAAAAAGCGGGTACCCTGACCAGCCTTCGGAGACCAGCCTCACATAGGAGAGCAACCCCATCAGTCATCTTAGCCAAGACGCCCAGGCCTTCTACCCACTCTTCGTCTCTCCAGTAGACAGCTGTGACTTGGCTGTTCACTCTGTCCTGAGCAGGACGTACGTGGAGTAAGTTATGGCATCATCCAGTGAAAGCCCCACCTCTCTTCTCCCCAACAAAGCAGGCTGAGGTAGACTGAGTCAGACTCCTCAGAAATCCAGGACTGAATGACAGATGCTGGTTCTTTGGGCAGCCCCAGGAAAATTGGGGACTGGTCACCCTGATCAATTCTTTCCCTTTCAAGGGGGAAGCTGCAGAGCTAGTCTGCATGTTTGCTTCTTTTTTTGCTTTGTTGAGCAGGCAGCAGGCCAATGATGTCTGCTACTTCATGTCACCAGAAAGCCCTCAATTTTGATGCCCTCCCACAGTGTGCCCCTGGAGGTTCTCCTTGAATCATTCTGGTAGTTGGTTCATCCCAGCAAGTAGCTGGGTCACTGAATCATGCCGTTCCCCACTAACAAGGAACAGTAGGTGAAATAAGGAAAGTAAGGCAAATGCTAGTGTCAGCTCACCCTGCATCCAGTCCCTGCCTGCCACTCACTGACCAGGGTATCCTGGACATTTGTTTCATGTGACTGAAACTCAATTTCCCGACTTCTCCAATGCAGGTAGCAATGCCAGCTGCTCACAGGAGTGAGAAGATAGCAACAACTAAGAATCCTGCAGGGAGGTTCTGAGCCCTACTTCTGGAATCATCCAAGCTCAAATGCTGGCTCTGTGGCTGTTTTCAACAGCTGGACCGTAACCCTACACCACTTCAGCATCCTTGTGTGTGGAAAGAGGACAGCACTGGTCCCTACTGAACCTCATGACAGCAGGGGGAGTGAAAGAATTCACAGGGCAGCGTCTGTGAGCTGATTAGCCACGCTGGCTCTGCCCCAGGGATGGGTTATACCTCGATGGTTCACAAGCCTCAACTTATTTGTGTCTGGCCAGTTCTGTGCTGCCCAACACAGAGTTTTTCATGTGCTTTTGTGTCTTTAGAGGCCAAAGGCAGGGAGGCCTGACATCCAACAACCAGAAGAGTCAGCAAAGAACAGCTAAGAAGAAAGGTTGGGTGTTTTGGGTCCACCCAACACCATTTCCTACCTGTGTGACACTTAAGCTGTGACAATCCCAAATAGGTGACTCAACTCTTCTAAGTACATTAAATTATAACAAAAAGTATTCTTGAAAGAATATACAATATGCTAAGACAGATACTTTCAAACTTTCAATTGAATCTTTTCAAGCAAGCAAGCAGACTTCAGAGTGTTCACAAGCTGGTTCACATAGAGGGCTCGGTTTCCCTGCCTATGAAATGGGAACCACAGCTCCTACCTCTTAGGGCTGAGAAGATAAAGAGACTGAGGAAGAGGAACCCAACCCAGACCAGGCATCAACTAGAACAATACTCTGCCATTACTCAGAAACAGTGAATCCACAGTCCAGCTACCACTGCTCAAACCTAGTCTTGGGACAGAGTTCTGACTCCAGTCAGCACAGGAAGTGCAAATATTGAAGGAAGAAATGTGAAAAAAAACGGTGGCATGTGTCACCTAAGAAGCCACAGCCCCCTCCACGAGACGAGCTCCTCCACAGGGCAGCTGCCCACCCAAACTTCTTGACCTCCCCTCTCCCCTGAACTACTGTGATCTGCCAACGTCCCCCATCCCCCATCTTCCCCAAGTGTCTCTCTCCTCATCTCTTCCATCCACTTCCCAGCTCCTCCATTCCCTCCCTACATCATCTCCTCTGCACTGCAGCCTCCCCTCCACCCCCACCCCAGTGTACCACTGAGCTGGATCAGGGCTAGCCCTACCTCACGTTGTCATGTCTCTGGATGTAAATCTTGTGGAAAATCCTCTCAGGGGGCTTCAAGAAGTCTTCCTTCATCTCCATGGCAACATTCCGGGGCAAGAGGCTCATGAGCAGCCGCTCCTAGATAGGAGAGATAGTCCCTCATCAGACATCAAGGACTTCCCATTCCTGCTGGGGTGGGTGAGGAGCTAGCTGCTTTCAGTGACAGACCACAGAACCTGCTCAGACAAGCCAGCACATGACCAGGCCTGCAGACTCTGTCCAGACCCCAGAGGCCTGTGGGTCCACACTCAAACCTGGACTGCCACTGAGCAAGTAACTGGCTCCAGGAGCCTGGCCCAGCATAGGTGGGCCTGGCTTCCTGCACACACCACCACAACTCCAGCCCTGCACACTGCTCTTTGAATGTAGGGCACTCTGAGCTTCAGTGCAGAGTGGGTTACAGCCCAGGAAATGCCACTGTCTCCGACCAAAGCCGCCAGGACACCTCTCCTCACCCTCTACTATGCTAACAGGAGTCCTCCAGATTGGTTTATAGAAGTCTGTCTACCCAGGACATACAGACTCCTTGTTACAGATATAAGCTCAGGGACTCTCTCTCTCTCTCTCTCTCTCTCTCTCTCTCTCTCTCTCTCTCTCTGTCTCTCCCCCCTCCCCTGCTCCCTCTCCCTCTCCCTCTGCTTCTCTCTCTCTCTCTCTGTCTTCCTACGCTCCCTGATCTCTGTAGGGCAATAATTTTCTTTCTCCCACAAGAGAAAAAGAATAAATGTTTAGGTTTTTCAAGGAAAGCTGTGGCACCCTGAAGAATCCATTCCTTTCCCCTTCCCAGGCCTTGGTTTCCTGTCTGGACCAACAGTGTAGGTTGGACTCCCTTCCCTGACCTCAGCCCTGGCTGGCCCTGACCTACTGGGCACAGCCCTGTGTCTGAGAGGCCGATCTGCAGTGTAATGGCCTCTGTTTTACCTCAGGTCCCTCATGCCCTAGTCCATATTGCCTTGCAAACAAAGACAAAGATGGTGTTTAAATCACAAGAACCAGGAAGAACATCACACTGACAAGAGAGGATGAGGCTGAAGAAGAGGCTCAATTCCAGTCCTGATGGCCTGGAGGCTACTCCTTGGGTCCCTGGCTTGTCTTGTCTGGACCGGTATCCTGGTCATTTTCCCTCTGGAGACTTCAGCAGCCACATACATGCATGAGATGCATCCTTCCCTGACAGTCTCCAGCCCTTGGGGCTGAGTCTTTCCTAGTCCACAGTCCACTGTGATGTGAATGCCACATGCCTGACTGGAGTAACTGCCACCCTGCAACTTTCTCGGGTGTCCATGCTTCTGTGTCCATAGTCCATCAGAGCAACAGCCAGGAGGTTAATGGCTCCAGGAAGTGCTATCTATGTAAGGGCCCTTCCCTTCTATTCCACTCCAAGGACAGCAGTCAACGTGCATGGCTCTTCCTGTGACTGAATGACATACTGGGCACACTGAGATCTTCTGGAAAGCTACTAAATAAGCATGGAGTGAGAAAACCAGGATCAGCACTGGAGGCTGGTTAGATAAATGTAATTACCACTATACTACAGAAACTTGACTTGATTTATGGCTGAATTTGTATATCTAAAAGAGACTTCCTTGACTCCTGCCAAAGAGCCTATGGCCTAGCCATATGTCTGAGCAAAGTGGAGTGTTGTTCTGAGGACCTACCCACACCAGCCCCACCCAAGCTTCCACCACAGTTCCCATGAAGTTCAGCTCAGCTCTGGATGAAGCCAGACATGCAGGAAGGGAAGCTGTTGAAGGATGGACCACCTTGACAGGTTGGGTCACACAGGGAGAAGACACTAAAGTATCCAGGCCACACTGCTCAGGCACAGAAAGGCACCCTGCATAGGGAATAGAAGATACAGCAGGACTGATTCTCTGAAGTCATCAGATCCTTTCCCAGACTACAGGTCTCTAGGGATGCAGCCCAGGATGAGGACCTCTGAAAGGGTCAACTGCTGATCACCAGCAGTGCTGGGCTGGAAGTTCTTCGGGTGGTAGTCAATGATAGGCCAGGAATCAATAATGCAAGTACCTTGGAACGTCCAGAGAATGTCACAGTCCTGAAATTCAAAAGCACAGGCCAGGTGGGAACACAGAGACAGCTACACAAACCTAGAAGGCCACAGGAAAAGGCTGTGAGGAAGGATGCGACAAATTCTGTGCTCTTCACAATTACCTCAGAGTCATGGGGAGAATGGGCAGATGAGGCAGATGCAGGCTCAGAATGCAGCACCTATGCAGCCTAGGCAAGGCCCTGAGAAAGTCACACAGGAGTCCCCCAAGTACTGAATCCAAAATCCCAGTGAAGGTACCTCAGTGTCCTCAGGCCTAAGAGGTGAGGAAAATAGACGGCAGAAATCAGGATCCACTGCCTGGGCCTAGTCCCATAGCATAGTGGTCAGTGTGTGGCCACCCGCCAGCACCCCACCTTATCACTCTAGCACTCAGCTTGCTGCCTCTCACATCTGTCTCTCACCTTCACCTCTCAAGTGTGAAAGTGACCCAAAGTGAAATCAATCCAGAAAAATTCTGTCCCTCACTCACAAGTCGCCTCACACTTATCTTCACAGTCAGTGATCTTCATCCCCCAACAGCCCTAGAACATTCTCATCATGAGCCTACAGGGAGGCCTTAGTGCATTGCCTTGCTACTCTGAAGTTGCCATCGGGACAAGGAAACAGAGCTATAGACCAAGAGGCTGGACCAGCCAGGCAAGGGGAGAATGCCCTCCAGGGAACAGAGGAGTACCAGAGTCACAGGTGTCAGCCCAGAAGGAAGAGAGAAAAGCTGTTGGACCCTAGCATACAACCTCTAGCACAAGGCTCGGAAGCCCTTCACATGGAAGGCTGGGCTGTGGCATGGGTGCAAGAAATAGCCATGGAAGTCAGTGGCCAGCTGGCTGCCCTGACCCATACTGCACTGCAACCATCATTTTCATCAGCCTCTTGGATACCAGGGTTTTCCAGCCTCCTAAGCAGCTTAATGTGGACAAGAAGATAAGAGTTCTGACCCCCCTCCAAAAAAAACCCACAAGATAAAGTAGCTTATTCACATAATAAAAATAATGAATACCTGAAATTAGTTTTCAATCTCAAACCCAACCCTGAAGCCCCAACACGAGCATCAGGAACAGGCTATAATAGCAATAAATTTTAACCAACAAAATAAGAACAAAGGGGAAAAAAAAAAGGAACGAAAGTTATTACGAACTATGAAGGCTATGGTCAAAACCTTAACACATTTACCCTGATTATCAAAATGTGTCTATATATATTTATATTTCCCAGCAGTAGGGTTACAGAGGCAACTAATCACACCCACCTTTTCTACATGGGTTCTAGGGATCCACACTTGGGTCTTCATGCTTGAGCAGCAGGTACTTTACCCACTATGACATCGCTCCAGCCCAAAACTGAATATGTCAATGAAGATCAGGAGGACTTTGCTTTGGAGTAAATGGAAGAGTGCTTCTCCCTGCTTCTCTCACAGAGCTCCAATAAAAGTCATAGATGCTCCACATCCAACACCATACAATTGAACAGTGAAAAGAAGGCAGAGATCATGGACCAAGACATGGCTTAGAAATGAGTTCTCCAGGGTTTCTGTTTGCATCATGGATCCCAGACATAGAACTAACCGAACAATAAGGAACTCAGGAGGCCACTGGGCACAAACAAAAAGAAAGAGTGGCAAAGGATGCCTTCTCTAGCCCAAAGGCCAGAACAGAACAGCTCAAAAGATGAAACCTTTAGACAGGAAGCAGTCTACTCCAGGCCAAAGATACTGAAATGTCTATGCCCTGGTCCTGTCCATACCAGCAAAAGTCAAGCAGAGAAAGAGAAGCCAGACCTCCACTCCTCCCTTAGCACTGGGTCAGAAAAGGACAGAGGTCCTCTTTCATCTCCAGACCATAATAATGCTACAATTCCCTTCCCCTGCTAGCATGATGTCACAGAAAACCAGGCCAAACACAAGACCCAAATAAAGACACAGAGCCTCATACAGCATGCCCCAGACGTGCAGGTTCCAGTGGAATACCATCATTTATCTACCAAGAGACAGAACAAGCCTAATCAATGCTCAGTGAACAAAGACAGCTAACACATACCAACATCGAGAGGACAGAGATACTAGAATAGCTAACAATTTTTTTCCAATTAGCTAACCCCTGAGACAAAAGTGCCACTACTACACCAATAACAATAGTTTGCTAGGCCAGTCATTGTGGTTTATTTAGCTAATAAAAATTTTAAAGCAGCTATTATAAGAATTATGAAAGAGGCTAGGAAGATGAATCGGTGGGTAAAATGCTTGTTGCACAAACATAAAGGCCTGAGTTCAGCTCTCCCACACCCACACAAAAGTGAAACATATCAGTAAGCCCAGCAGGATCGGCTCAGTCAGAGACAGATCTTGACAGTGGGAGGGAGGAGGGCTCAGAGCTCTAGGTTGAATGAGAGACCATCAAAAGGTGGACCTGATTTTTTTACAGAGGCCAAAAATATATATATTGATGGAAAGACAGCATCTTCAACAAATGTTACTGGCAAAACTAGATATCCATATTGTGCTCAGTAACTTCAATTGTCAACTTGACACAGTTGGGAAGAGGGAGCCTCAGAGAACTTCTTCCATCAGGCTGGCCTGTGGTGATGACTGTGAGGTATTTTCTTGATTGTTGAGAGATATACGAGGGCCCAGCCCACTGTGAGTGATGCCATCCCTGGGCAGGTGGTCCTTGGTTATTTAAGAAAGCATACTGAGCATGGGCCAGAGGAGCAAGCCAGTAAGCATTGTTCCTCACACTCCTATCTCCAGATTCCTGTCCTGCTTAAGTTCCCACCTTGGTGTCTCTCAGAATGGACTATCACTTGGAAGAGTAAGATGAAATAAACCCTTTCCTCCTCAAGTTTGGTTAGGTCAGTGTTTTATCACAGGAATAGAAAACTAGAATATAAATTGGTACCAGAGAGTGTGATATTGCTATGAAGGACTTGACCATATTTTGAGAGGACTGTGGAAATGTTTGGTACCTTGGCCTGGAAAAGCCATTGAGTGCTTGGAGCTTAGTGAGCTGTT